GCTCCGTAGTATCCTGGTGCTTCTTGTTTTGGCCAACTGCTGTGGTAAACGTAGATGTAACTATAAAGAAATACTGGACACCTACCGAGATGTCATCTTCATTGATCTGCAAAATCTGGTATGATCATTTTTCACATGGTTTGCTTTTTTTTATTTTTATTTTATTTTTACTTTTAGCTGCCATATACTGCAAGAGTCCATGTTAAATTTTTAATGATAGGCTGCCCTCCAGTGTTTGATCTAAAAGTAAAGCTTGGGATTTTTTTTTTTTTTTTTTTTTTACATCAAACTTGATACACTTGAACTGTTTGGATAACTAATTTTGATGAATCCCACAGAATCTGACTGACTCAGCCACTACATTCAAAGAGAGAGTCCCTTGTCCCTCAGGAAAAGTAAGTAGCACCATACCAAGCAAGGACTATATAACACCTGAGAAAGTAAAACAACTAAACGTTTGATTGTGGAGCTTGTTTAAGTATTTTTAATTATTCGTCTTCCATTTCTTAAAGAAATAATTGAAAGCAAAATGGAAAAATCTTAACTTAGCGTCTAGTTGGATTCTTAGAATGCTTTATTTTTGCATTTTTTTTTTTTTTTTTTACCTTACTCTATATTTACTCTTATTGTCATTATGAATTTATTTGATTTAATAGTATGAATGACATAATCATAAGGTCTACACTTTAACCCTTTATATGGCAAGTTACTTTTTTTGATCACTTGCATACCCCTTAAAAAAGGATGCAAGGTCTAGAAGCACATGATCTATATCCAACCATTCAGCACAGATACTGCTACATGGCTATACATTATATTTTGGCATTCGACCAATTAGATGAGCCCTTGAATGATATATTACCTACTGTAAATTCAGTTGGAAAACAGAGTAACAAGTCAAGAAAAAAGGTAAAAAGCTATTTGAAAAGTTAGAAAGTAAAGCTAAAGGGTTAATGAGCCTCTAAGGTTATGTTGTACCTAAAGAAAATGTGTTTCTTTCACTCTCAGAGTTTTTTTCATGAATTTCTTATAGAAGCACTTTTATTATTTTTCTTAGTATATTCAGGCAAGTTGGTGCTTCTTGTTATTACATTGACATTCATTTTTGCCATCAAAATATCTTGAATATTACAAAGATAATAAGGTCTTGTCCTGGATTTCAACAACACACTACAAAAATAATCTAAAAATTAGTGAAAATGTCTTAAAATAAGTGTATTTACCCTTAATTTGAGTAGGTACATAAGAAAATCTCCCAGTGGAAGGAGCATTTTTATCCTTAAAATCAGATTATTTGATATTATGCACTTGAAATAGGAGACTGCACTTTTTCCTTATTTTAAATATAAATTTTCTTATTCCATTTGCAAAATGTCTCACTTTCCTGCTCAATTCAAGAAAGAAAATGCACCTATTTTAAGAGAAAATGATTTAATTTAGATATTTAGAGTCTTTCACTGAGTTCCATATAAAGAGTGAAGGTCTCCTCTGCTGCTTCCTAATAGTTGATTTAGGTGTTTATTGTTCTCCTACAGTACATATTTGTTAGCATAAAGGAAGTTTTATTTTTATTTTTAAATTTTGTTATTTGGGTAAGCGATATGTGTTTTAGCTTTAAAATAGTTTACTTTAGTTTAACTTGTTCTGTATAAAAAAAGATGATAGATTGATTAAATAAGGCAGTAAAATTAAATATTCATAGTGTACTTTAAAAATGTATTAGTCTAGCTAAAATTAATAATTTAATTCTTGTTCACTCACTTTTTTGCTTGAAAATCTTTTCTGTAGAATTGTGTATAGTAAGATGCTCTGATTTCTTGGGTTTGTTGTTTTTGCATCATAGTCCTTCACAGGTGCTTTCAGCACCATGGACAGGGTAAACATTCTGCCCTTTTTTGTCATGCAGTTCTCATGTTAACAAATCAAAAAACATTTATCCAAAGATCTAATGTTGTGCAGCTCCAACTTGTAATAATGCACTAATTCAAATGTCTCCCATTGTTTTGTTGATGGGCTTCCATGCAACAGGCACGTAGCATACTGATGTCCATCTATAATATGACACAGCAGATTCTGTGTCAGAGGGGTGGCAAGCAGCCTGACCTGGAAAAGCCAGTTGGGAGCATGGAGCAGCTCATCATTCAAAACTGCAGTCCTACATTCATGGTAAAAGACCAACACCAGTTCTAGGGAAGCTCTTTAAAATCATCTGTCACTGATTTAAAGGTAATTGAAATAAATCTCCTGTATGTTCCTGTGCTTTTTTTAGGCAAACAAAACTTCGTGTTCAGCTGTCAGAAAAATAAAACGAAAAAAGAAGAGATTGAGGTTTATCAGAGTTATAAAACTGATGATTACTTGTTGGGAAAAACTTCAGAGTGTCCATACTCTCTCTAATTAGGACAAACTGTGCCACCATTTCATGAAGATACCAGTTGACTTACAAGAATGTTCACCGCGCCGCTATAAAACCGAATAACCTATTTTTTATGCACAGATCTTTTTTTAATGCAATACTATGAATGTTTACTGTTAAGTTCTCAGTGTTTTATGTATCAAATCTTCCTACTTTCTGTATACAGTACTGCTCTTTGATATATGTTAGTTTCATGGTAACCAAAGATAAGCTAAATGTATCCACGGTGCGTTCAAATACTTTAACAATATGCACATTTTCAAAGTCTCTCTTTATGTAACAACATTTACATGTATGTTTCTTGTTTGTAATCTTTAAAAATAACCATGAAATCTTTATACCACATAATAAAAATGATAAATGCAAATAGATTTGTTTTAAGGATTAACATTTTTAAGCAGTGTTAGATTATCAATGGGCTGGTGCAGTTTGTAGCACTGCTGCCTTGCAGGAAGAAAAGTTCTCTCCATTCTCCCAGTGCATGTGTGGGTTCTCTCTGGGTACCCGGCAGTCCAATAACATGACTGTTAGGTTAATTTGCATCTCTAAATTGTAATTAGGTGTGTGTGCATGGTTTTATGTCTTTGTGTTTCCCTGCGACAGACTGGGTGTACCCGGTTTCTCGCCCATAGCCTGCTGGAGACAGGAACCGCCCCACCTCGACCCTGAAGGAAAAAGATGGATGGATGGATGGATGGATGGATGGATGGATGGATGGATGGATG